ATACTTTATCAAAAGAGCCGACGACTTGAGGGTTAAGACAATTCCATTTAGTGAACGATTCTTCGATCCAACTCTCGTATAATACTCTTTGGCGACGATTCTTGAATGCAATGCATTTGTGGCGAATATACGGCACAGTAATCACGTAATCGTAAAACTTGGTCAAAACTTTAACACTTTTAGGGCTGATATCATTGGTAACCATACATATTAGCGAGCATTTGGTGCCACAGTTCTGAAGACTCTGCGCTAATACAAGAGCGCCGGCAATGTATTGATCACTTTTCATGACGAGAGTCACATAAGCTAAAGAACCCATCATTTAATACATTTAATTGTTTAGTTTTACAATTAAATCAAGCAATTTTACAAAACATATGTTAAGATTGTTCTGTTTTAATAACTATTCAATTAAATATTTTAAAATAAAATAATAGTTTTGTTTGTAAACTTTGAAGTAATTAAAGTAGTTTTTGAATAACAACTTCTCTTTTTGTAAATAAAGCGAGTTTTATAGAAATAGATTTTATTTATAAAATTTCATTTCAATTACATTTTGTAATCAAATCGAGTTTTATTAGCCTTGAATTGAGAAATGCCTGAATCAATATCAAGAATAATTTTTTAATGTAGCGAGTTTTATAGAAATAGATTTTATTTATAAAATTTCATTTCAATTACATTTTGTAATCAAATCGAGTTTTATTAGCCTTGAATTGAGAAATGCCTGAATCAATATCAAGAATAATTTTTTAATGTTGTGTAATATTTACAGATTTAGCTTAAATAAAATTCATGTTATAAATATGTTTAGAAAACTTTTAGTTTGTTTGAAACAATATATTAAAACCGATTTCAAAAACACATCTAAAACATAAATCAATGGCTTTTTCTGATAATGAAATGCCGAAACAGAAAATTATTTCTATGATTTGTAACTTTACAATTTATGCCTCGTTTTTATGAAATAATATATAAAACTTAATCATTAATACTATTAATACTATTATTATTCAATTAACCCTTAATTTTCAGTTTACGTTTATTTGCTGAGAATGTCTATTCAATGCAATTGATTAATATAAAAATGAGGCATTAATTGGAAAGTTACAAATCTTATTTAATTTACACTTTAATAATTAGAGTCTAATTGATTAAAAACAGTAAATATCGCTAGTATCCGGTTTTTATATTTTGGTTTATAAATAGAGCGGAGATTCTTCGGGAATAACATCTAGTTAGTTTTGGAGGTTATAATGGAGTAAAAATATACCATTTTTATTTTCCCGAATTTTCCCGATTTTAGCCTAATTTAAAAATATTCCCGATTTTGACATATTTTAGAAAAAAACTCCCGAAATCTTATGCAAAATAGACTAAAATGCACTCTTTTCAAGAAAAACTAAAACTATTATAATATTATAAAAATCCACAAAATTTTGAGATAAAATGTGCACTAATTAGTAAGTGAGTTTGACCATGTTAAATGTTTTCTCTCCATTTAAGAATATTCTTGCAAATAAAAGGCAGACTTAAAGAATAAAACTTCAATTTCTATGTTATTCTACCTATAATTCATTTAAAAATGATTTTAATCCATAATTATTGTGTTTGAACTGAATTAATAATAATTCCCGAATATTCCCGAATTTGACTGTTTTACTCCCGGTTCCCGACCGAATTTGGTTGTTTTTCTTCCCGCATTGCCCTTTATTTTATTCAAATACTCGTTTTTGAGTCAAAATTTTAAATATTTTTTCGGTAATGTTATTTAAATTTATTTTTTATGTAATCCTATCAGTTGTATGATATGGTAATGTTTATTGTAAAAATATGCTTTACACCACATTTTAAATGATCATTATATTTAGTGTGGACGACAATGTATTTGATTCATTGAATTCATTCATGGATTTAGCCCTTAGATAGCACTTGGATTCCTTCGTCGGTATCTCTGTCGAGAACATTGAGTTCTTGTACTATCGGTCATCAATTTGTGAAACCCAAACATTAACTCACCTTTTAATAAATTGTGGCCCAATTACTGCATACTTCGTTCAATTAACAATCAATTAAAGCTCATTGAAATATATATTGTTTTATTAATTACAAATTAATAATTTGTTTTTTAATACATAATTAATTATATCATTGTTTTGTAAAATTAAAACGTCAAGTGAATGGAAAAACAAATTATAAAAATTCGTAAACTCTTGTATTGAGTGCTTTAACTTAATTCTGGGAAATATTTACACATAGAATAGAAATCAAATGTTAAAATAAATGGTAAATAACTGTTGTCTACGAATGTTTGGATTTGTTGTTGAGTTGACAGATGGTATTGATATGTCTGAGGTATGAGAACTTCCACGTGAACTGTCGGCCGCATCGGTGACACTCGTGGCAACTCTTCTGTTCGTGAATGACTCTAATGTGTCGAATAAGACTCTGGCGAACGTCAAAACGTTTCAAACATATCTTACATTCAAATCCGTTCGCAGTTTTATCTGAAAGTAAGACTTTAATTATATTTCTTTACACTATTTGTCATAATTTATATTTGCTTTAAAAGCAATCTTTTTGGCCAACACTTGGAAAATAAAATTCAAATAGTTTTCACACAATTATATAAAAT